TTAGCGGGAGGAGTGGGAAGGAGAGTAGCTTGCCAAGCCGTGCAAAAATTGTGAATTGTTAGAATGGTAAAATGGTCAAAGAATCCCAAGATGTTTCTTTGATTCTTAGAATGTTATCCTCAGAGCAAAATCCGTGCCAGATCAGGTCAGCGGTCTTGCCCCCCTCACTCCTGTTATTTTTAAAAACAGGAAACTCCAGTCCCTGAGAGTTCAAGCCCCAGGACTGGAATGTAGGTATTCCAAAGTTCAACCCAGGTCTCTGCCTTTTGTACCTCGCCTTCACCTGGAGACTGAATTCAGGCGAGGATGGGAAATGCGCAGAAGGGGTTCAGGACCCCTTCACGTAGTCCGTCCACTGTTTCCCCTTCCTCAGGGCTTCCAGGAACCTGTAGATATTAGGGGCCACGTGACAGTCACAGGAAAAACAAACTCTGATAACTGGCTGGCTGTGGGGAGGAAGGAATCACCCAGGTCCCATGACTCCCCAGCTGCAAGGCTGGTGCTTGAATTTGGCCTCTAGATTCCCTGCTGTGGGCTGTTGATGCTCTGCATCACTCCACCTTTCATGCAAACCCACGTGTGTGGTTGCCCTAGTGGCCCTCTCTGTCCCCAAGCTCAACAACAGAGTGCGTACTTCAGTGACAAGCGAACAGCTGCAGGAGTGGGTGTTGAGGAAGCGATAAAAAGCCTTGGAAGGATTCGTAACCCTGGGGAACTGGTAGTTGCACTGGAACAAAGCACAGCCATGTTTCCCTCAGCACCTGACTATGTACAAGCCTGGTTAAGCAGAAGGGCTCCAAGGCAGGCCAGCCTGGGCTTTGAGGTCGTGCTCTACTCCTTGCTAGCTGTGCAATCTTGAGCAAGTTGGTAAACCTCTCTGTGCTCCTGTTTCCCTACTTACAAAATAGGGCTAATAACTATCTTCAGGGCTTGTTGTGAGATCTCACAAGTGAATCAAAGCACTCAGCCCAGTGCTTAGCACAGAGTGAATGCCCCCATCAATGGTCGTTATTTTCACTCCACCAGGTCCTCACATATATGTAGTAAGGGAATGAAATAAAAACTGATTCAAAAGTTGTGTACAGAATTCCTCTAGTGCAGGTGAGAACTGACATTTGGTTGTTGGGATTTTGGGAAGGCCTGAGGCGGAGGCCAAGGTGACCAAAATTGTTCTGCAATAAAGTCAGTAGAACTTTCTGCATAGTTTGTGAGGGGAAGTGATGGGGGGGTGGTGAAAACGGGGAGAAGAAGGACAGGAAAACAGGTCAGAGGGAGAGTGAATCCGTATGCATGGTGAAGGGCTGAACCCCAGGGAGGAGTGCGGGCCCTCGAGAAGTCCGCAGGGAGTGGAGTGTAGAGGCTGCACAAGCACAGAGGGGTCTGAAACTCAATTCTGCATCATCGTCTGTGATGGAAGGCATCGCCCTGCCAGCTTCTCCACTTACCCTAAATCCTGCTCTCAGCCTTGCTGTTGCAAATGCCAGGTGCTTCTGGAGCTCTGGGGAAATCGGGTAAAGGGGCCTGTATTCTGGGGTTTGGGCAAATAAGCCACATACACAGGCACACATGAGATTCAAAATGTGGCTGAGGCAGAAAGTCAGAACAAGGAGCGGTGGGAAGCAGCACAAGCTTTCCTCTCCCCGCAGCCCTCCCTGGGTCCAGGAAACAGGCTCTGCCAGGCAGCAGACGGGTCATGTTGGTTGTTGTTTCACCCTCGTAGTGGCTCTGTGTGGGAGTCCTCAGTGAGTCCGTTAAAGCAGAGGAGAAGGGTGTGGGGAAAGGTTCTCCTCCCACTGTCCTTCCTGGCCCACAGTCCCAGCTGAGCCCCTGGATGGGCCACTGAGTCCTAAGCACAGTGGAGTGGGTGTGAGGTGACAGTCTGCTGGTGACAGGTCTTCTGGCCAGGAATGAGAACCCTGTGTTGGATTCGGATATCATTTCACTACAAAAAAGGCTTGATTGTCTGTGGTTTCCCTGCAGCTAAGTGTCATCCTGTGTTACGTTACTTTAGTGTGTGTTTACGCAGCCCGGCTTCCGAGGTTCTGGGTTGGTACCAGCTTCCTGCTGATAGTGGACAATTTCCATCAGCTGGCAGAGGGCTCCCTGGGAAGTGTCTGGCTTCTGCCTGTGTCCATCCCAGTGACAAACCACGTGCTGCCCCCTGGAGCTTCTTCCATGGAGTTTCTGAAAGTGATTTTCCCTCTGCCTGTAATGTCTTGCAACGGCTTTTCAGAAGGGACAGTTTGCTGCTTGTGCCTGTTTTAAGAGGGGTTTGTTACAGGAGGAGGCTGTGGCTGCAGACTTCCTCAGGATTATTAAGAATCATGTTTTAGACTTTTTTCTTCTATATTTACATATTGAACGAGAGGTTAGAGTATCATAAAAGCATCAAAGCTGGAAAGACCTTTAGTTCATTTAGTATATTGCTGTTATGTTACAGATGGGGCGCAGAGTAGAGGGAAGACTTGCCCAGAGAAGCACGGCCTGCTGGTGTGAAGGTCAGTTCTGGAGCCCGGGTCTTGCTCCAAGGCAGTACTCTTTCCACCTCACCCCACTACTGTGTCTGCAGTTTGCCAAGATAAGAGAAGCAGAGACTTGCATTAAAAGCAGGAGAGAGCCAGGGAACACATACGGCAGGTCGCTGACATTTCATGGCTGAAGCATATTATGTAGGGGCTAGAGAGGAGCCCTGGATTCTGATCCCTGCTCTGCCATCAACTCCCTAGGTGACCTTAGGCAAGTCACCTTGATTCCTTGGGCCTCAGCTCATCATCTGCAAAATGGCAGTATTAATCCCCATGTTGCCCTCTTACAGGATGGAGGCTAAGATCAACCCAAGGGAGGTGTGGGAAGGTCTTTAACAAAAGTTTCATTGTTCTAGTGAGAATTATTAGCATTTTTTAATATGATTGCAAAAACACTAAATTGTGAACTGAGGTTGGTTTTAGATTCGTTTGTGTCCTGAGATCCACAGTGATTGCCATATAAGAAGTGATCTGATAAGTTGCCTAGTCCATGACTTCCAAAATTTTGGATTTTACGGACCAAAATGATCTATTCCAAAATGTAAACTCAGTGATCTTATAGAATGGGCAGCTTATTATTTTGCCTATTGTGACCATTAAAACAATAAAAAATAACTGATAAGAAGCAAACCAACTTAATTCCCATTTATATTAGCTTCATGTTGTAAAAGGAAGGACATTTTAATACCAGAAAATACCCTTTTAGGAAAGGACACACTCTGAGAGGGAAGTCTAGTTGGCTACAGGCAAAGGGGGTTACTAGTTAGAGCCCCTGTGGTTGGCAGCCTGCAGATGGAAGTGCCGAAACTGAGACCCAGAATGGCTGAGGCTGCGTCGCCTAATCAAAATTCCCCTTGTCACTGAGATCATGTTCTTCTTAAAGATCACCTCCCCCTCTTGAAAAATGAAGTTCTGGTCCAAACTTGGACAGTCTGGATGGATGCGGAGTGGTGGGAGTGGGGAAGGGAAAATGACATTCCCTCACTTTATTTGGCTTTTTGCAAGGCTCTGTGTTCTGATTCCAAAGCCTGTACTGTTTCCATGATAGGGGTCGGCAAGCCCTGGTCTGTGGGCGAGATCCAAGCTACCACCTCCTTCTGTGAGTGAGGTTTCGCAGGCCTGCAAGTCACGCCTGCTGATTTGCAGGGAGTCGATGGCTGCTTCTGCACTACAGCAGCAGAGTGGACTTGTTGCAGTGGGGACCTCATGGCCTGCAAAGCCTAAAATGTTTACTACCTGGCCCTTTACAGAAAAATCTTGCTTACCTTTGCATTATGCCATGCTCTTTTTTACCTTAATGAGGCATTATGGGAGTCAAGGTCACGTGCCAAGTAATTCCAGCCGAAGTTAAGCGATTGTTGACAAAGCTGTAATTATTAGTCTGCCTTGAAAGATAAAGAATGCTGCTCTCTTTGGGGGATTTCCCCCTTACATTCTAAGTCTCTGGGTGACAGAGAGCAGAAGCATGGCTAAGGGTATCCTAAAGGAAACTCCAGGTGTGATTGCTGGATTGGTGTGAGGAGCTGTGTCCAGATACTTGTGTCCTTCGTCTGGTCCCAAGGATGCCCTGGTGTCTCTTTCTAGGTGGCTATAATGATGTGCTCTTTCTCTTTTACTTTTTTTTTCTGTCTGAGCTGTCTGGTACCCAGCTGTACTTGCTGTCTAGATTCTAAATATTATAGGACAGAGATGGGGTTAATGTTTTGGGGTTGAAAGAACACTGGATTAGAGATGAGGACATCTGGTTTCTGAGGACATCTGGGTTCCAAATTTGACACCATATGACCCTGAACAAGACATTTCACTTGGTCTTACTTTTCCTCTTTTGTGCAATAAAATCATTCATCAGAGAATCTCAAAGTTTTTCATTTTCTGTGTTCACCTAACTGCATATCACCACTCTGGGGCTAGTAGAGACAATGCATTAATTAGTGACTTCAGTGATAGGAAATATGAGGAGTGAGGAGGACTGTTTCACAAGCTCTCGACTTCATTGTGCATTTTGGCTGTTACCAGTTATTTAATGATTACTATATGCTGGTCACCATGCCAAACAATTTACAGGAGAGATCTGATAGACTTCTCCAGTACCTTCATGAGGTGGGTGTTACTAGTCCCATTTCACAGATGAGGAACTGAGTTTCTCAAGTGGGGTGTAGAGCAAAGATTCATACCCACATTTTCCTGACTCCAGATTTTAAGCTCTTAACACAATGCTGCTTTGTGTTTCTGTCTGTGTCCGCATGACAGCCTATGCCAGAGGTAGGGTTTTCATTAGTGGGAGAGTTGAGGGTCAGTGGGAGAACTTGTGGGGACAAGAGTGCAGCTCAGAGACTGCTCAGGTGAATGGAGATGCATCAGCTTCCACCCACTCTTCTGTTGGACACTGTCAAGATGTTTCTGGTTGTAAATCAGCTATAATGTGATATGTATGGATAATTCCCTGCACAGTTACTTCCGATTTCAAGGACTTACCTCCTTTAAGGTGGAATTTGCCCGGTGGGTTGGGAATGGAGTCCTGAAAGAGAAGAAATAGAAAAACAAAAACCAGTGTGAGGATGTCATCATATTGGAACAGCTAGTCTTCCCACTCCACCACCCCCATTTTGGTCAGCATCAAAGTATTGTGCAATTTAGAATTTGTGTTACACCTGACTCTTAGATTTAAAAAAAATTTATTCACTGTCTTAGTTTACAGTAGGCTTTCTCATCCATTTGCTTTACAACTTGCTTATCAGGAACACAATTGGAGGATTACTGTCCACATTTCACAGGTGAGGAACCAGGGCTAAGAGAGGTAATAAAGAGTTTATAGTAGCTCAAGGACCAGAATCTGCTACTCTTAACTTTCAGTCCAGTGCTTTTCTTTTCACCTCCATGTGTTACTTTTTCCCTGCCTTGGTCAACATAAGAGCAATCAAATATAATGTATAAATATATGTGGTTTTTTTTTCTGTATTTGATTCATCAGACAGTGAAAGCATGTTGTAAGCATACCTGGGAAGGTACATTTCTGTCTCTCTTGTGGTTGGAAATTCTGAATTAATAGAATAATTACATGCCAAGCACTGTGAAGACACCATAAATAATTAAATTGGGTCCCTGCCCTCATGATTTATTACAAGTTTATATTTGACTGTAATACCTAAATATGTATAATATAATATAAATAAGCATAAATGTATATTACTTACTTCTGTAGTCACATTATCTTTTATGTTATTTATTCTGTAATAAGCATAAATAGATACTTAAATATTTACACCAATAATAATAAATTCTTCAGAGACTAACTTCCCCACCCCTGGTCTCACTCTCCCTTCTCCCCACCTTAGCCATGGAGACGCCCCTCAGGTGTCCTGCCAATAAGGAATGAGTATCTTACTCATCTTTTGACCTGTCTAGGTTGAAGTGTCTTGTAGTGCATTAATAAAGACCTAGAGAGATGGGAGTGTTTCCATGGATGAAAGCAACTTCCCAGCCTCTACCGGAGCATGCAGTTAGCAGCTGCCCACATCGTATTCTCTTAGTGTTCTGTATGAACACCTAGGACCACCTGGAGTTCCCTTTTAGTCTATCATTGCTCTGGGTGCTTTGTCCTTTGCCTCCCGCTGCTGATCAATGGCTGTTTCTTCAGCCCAAGTGAGTGGTAGTGGTTGGGGGTCTCCCGAGACAGAGCACTGATCTGGAGATGGTGGAAGTCAGTATAAATCTGGGGGCTTAAGCTTATCAAGGGAAAGGAAGTGAACTTTGCTTGGAAAGTCCTTCCCTCTTTGCTCTAGTATTCTATGATTTTGCTTTAGTTGAAAGCTCTTAACCTAATTAACAATGGTGAACATTTGTGGTCTCTCAGCTTACGCATGCAGTTTAAAGGAAAACCTGACGTCACAAAATTCCCCTCCAGGTTGCCTCTGCGAGACAACAAACAGCATTTTGTGATTTAATAAACACCTAGTTTACTGCCAAGCAGGTCCATGGGTTAGTGTGATGTGCAAATGCATGAAGAAAAACATCGCTGTTTAAACGTGGCACTGAGACTGTTGAATCTGTCAGATCCCCAGGAACATACCCAGGACAGTGAGAGAATGCTAGAACAGCAAAACCCATGGGTCGTCCCAGTAGCCACTGGCAGCTGGGAACTGCCAGAGAGTCATACATTTCAGCACATGTTAAACAAGCACCTGGTGTGTGTCAGGCATTATGTTAGTCATATGTGTGGATTTTATGGCTCAATCATTAAAGCATAGATTTAAAATTCACAGATACATATAGAATTGCAAGTTATGGCAAGAGCTATGAGGGAAAAGAGGCAGAGTGTTTAGAGATAGTACTTCTTGAACTTTAACATGTGTACCAATCACTTAGGGAGCTTGTTAAATTGCAAAATCTGACTTAGCAGGTGTGGGTGGAGCCTGGGAGTCTGTTTCTGACAAGCTCCTAGGTGATGCTAGTGCTCCTGGCTCACAGAACACACTTTGAGTTGTGAGGTTTTAAGACCATAGTATCTGGGAGGAGGATCTAATTTACATGGGGGTTGGAGTTGGGAGCGCCAGTCATTTGAGGACTTTCTGGTTTCCTGGCTTCAGACAGGAAGAAGTTAAAAACAAAGCATCTTGGTACAGGAAAGAATTCTGTTGCTTAACCCTTCACTCAAGGCCCATGGCATCCAAGTGTGATTATCCCTATCATGAAGAGCTCTTAGGACAAGGTCTCCATAGCTTCCCTTGGCTACACATGGTAGACAGAATCAAAGATTCAGGGCCAGGCAGGAACCTAGACATGAACAACTTTAGTCCATCAAGCTAATTTTACAGACAGGGAGATTGAGACAAGCTCATGAGTCAGTGGCAGATCCTGGACTGAAATTCTCTAGTGCTCTTTCTACTGCGAAGGAGAAATGCTGTCTTCAGAAGCCAAGGATAGAAAAGCTCATTCTTCCCTATCTCTTCTCCCATTTAGCAGTCCTTGCATTTGGAGGTGGAGGAGTATAAAGAGATGATGACTTAAAATTTGCTGAGGACTGTTTATATGCCCTAGGCACTATACTAAATGCTATCCATCATCTCCTCCTTGGCAAGGTACCTCTCAGCCCTAGAATTCTCTCGCAAATCTTGCCTGGGGATTTGGGTCCTGGCTGGGGTAATGTGAACCACCTTGCTTAGCAACTTGGCTTTGAGGTAAATAGTACATAGAATAGACACAGACACAAGCAAACGGCCCCTCCCAGGTTGTCACTCTCAGCTTCTTTGAGTAGTTCAGGAAACTCCATCTCCATGATTAGCAACCAGCTACATTTCCTTAAGTGTATTTCTGTCTTTTTTTTTTTTTCAGACTCTGGGTGTCTGATGGGGAGCCCCAACAATGTTTCTGTGTATTGGGAGAGGAATTGTCACCTTTAACCTGCTTATCCCCAGGTAAGATGACATGATCCCAATCATATTCTCTGCCTAGGACTCTATTTTCCCACTTCCTTTAATCACTGTGATTATTGAGTTAATAATCCTTTCCTCCACTGGGTTGCTGTGGACATGGACATCATAATTGTATACATAAGTGCTTGAAAACGTTGGCTATTTTGGTTACCCACTTGATCCTAATGAGGAGCTTAATTTGCCTCAATACCTTGAAAGGCTTATTTGTTTTCACAGAGCAATGCTGTACAGGGGAATCAGCTCCCAAATTTGCTTTGACAAAAAATGTCCTGTCTGATTGAAAATGGCCAAAAGGCAACTAATGTTTGGAATATGCCAGGCAGATTCTATATCTCCTTCCTTGCTGGCCTCACAGTTGGCCTTGTAAGGTGAGCCATGAGATCTTTGCCAGGAATCCCTCTCTTACTGTCAAGCTAACAGGATTAAGCACTTAATGAGGGTGCTTAATCCTCTGGGGCTAAATCTTATACTGTATATGCATTATCTTATTTCATCTTTACCTTAAGAGTTAATGATTGACTAATACTTAGAGAAGTGACTTAATGATTATAGAAGGTCCCACAGATGGTGAATAGCAGGAAAAGGATTCAAACTCCGATATGTTGACTTGGAAGGCAGTGCTCTTCAATGTCAAGCCATGTAGAGCAGGATGAACCCAGGGCAGAAAATTCTCCCAAGACTCCATGTGGAAGTGGACGGAGGTCATAGAAAATCTCCAGGAGGAAGGCTATTTTCATTGGCAGCCTTCCTTTCGGTAGAGTTAGTGAAAGTGGTAATTAGAATACGGTGGCTTAAAGCAGTGCTTCTCCCACAGGGAATCTTGCTAAAATACCAAGTCTGATTCAGCAGGTCTGGGATGGGGTCTTAGGTTTTGCATTTCTAATGAGCCTCCAGATTACACCAGTGCTGATGGGCCAGGGACTACACTTTGAATAACAAGGGCTTAAAGACTACTCAACTGGCAATCAGAATACTTGAGGTCTTCCTTCCCCAAGGAATGGAAACAGCTACTGGAGGCTGAGTATGGAGCTGGCCTCATGTATGAATTTAGGAAATCTTCGTAGTCTGTTGTTGGGGGTGGCAGCCTATCCTCTCATCTTCCTCTGTCAGTGCTTCTTGCCACCTAGTCCTAAGTCCTGCTGCTCCTCTGTGCAGTCTGGACTGACCTCTGTTCTGTCCCTGCCATGCCTCTCCTCTCACCTGGAGTTGTCTTCTAATCTGGGCCATGCCTCTCCTCACTCTTTTGCCTCGCCTGAAATGAATGCCGGCACCATCTCCACCTGTGCCACCATCTTTCCAATGGAGAGCTCTTCTCCATTAAAGAATAAATGCAGCTAATGAATGCAGAAGGAATGATAGAATTAAGCAATGATGTTTCAACCCTCAGTGTATTAGCTGATTCAGATGAGGGTCATCAAAGTGTGCCAAAGCCGCTGAGTGAAGGATATTCATATGTCTTCAAAGTATCACCCCGTAGATTAAATTTTAATAAGAACGAAAAAAAAGTGTTTTACCAAAGAGATAGTGGTCACCAACTTAATCAAGTGACCAAACATCATAGCCAGTAATGGGACAACCTGACATTCTTCTAGCCGTGCTCCAATAAGAAGTATTTACCACTGTCTCTGTACTTTTCTTGCCAAAAGTGCTTCATCTGAATATATAATCATGAGTGAACACTAAGACAAATCCAAAAATGTGAACTATTCTACACCAGAACTGGCCTGGACCTTTTGAAAGTCAATGAAAAGCAAACAACAAAGAGCAGAGGAGATTGTTAGATCATTGCTTCTCAGACTTTAATGTGCTTATAGATCACCTGGAGACCTTTTTGAAAATACTGATTTTTGATTCAGTAGGTTTAGAATGGGCCCTGAGATTCTGCATTTCTAAGAAGCTTCCAGGACCACCTTTTATTTAGTAACATTCTAGGTTAAAACTGAAAAAACCAAATGTGATATGTGACCAGAGAGTAGATTCTGGGTCTACAAACAAAACAAGGCACAACAACTATGGAAGATGTTTTTGAACAAGTGGGGGAAATTAAAATATAGGCTGTATATATTACTGCATTAACATGAACACTCTTGGCGATGAGAATGGCCCTGCAGTAAGTAGGAGATGGGTGCTAGAATACATGCAAGCCAACGGTCACCCTGTGTGTGACTCTCATGTATACAGAAAGAACACAAATATGGCAAAATATTAATGCTTAATGAATTTAGGTGAATTAAGTGAATGAGTGTTTACCATTCTATTTTTTTGTAGGTTTGAAAATTTTCAAAATAAAACTTTGAGTATAAGACATGATTCTTCTGATTTTTGAAGGAGGCTCAGCTTACTTTCTAGCTCTTCTGCAAACCCCTCCCTCATCCAAGCAGAAATTGTCTCCCTCTCCTCTGGTCTATGGCATTCTGTGTTATTCTACCTTGAACTCAAGTTCTTGAGTGTTTGGGCCTCATCTCTTCAATTTAGAGATTCTCAGAAAACAGGGGTCCTGCCTTATCCACATGGATCCTTCTGTCACAGTCCAGTTTAAGGCTTGCCCCTGAGAAGATTTTCAGTGGACTTTTTTGAATTGATTAATTTGAATATATTGGAGAGAGTAACTTGGGTAGAGGGGAAGTATCACAGGGCATTTCGATTCACTCCTGTACTTTATCTGGGTTGAAAGCAAACCACAAAACCATACCACTCCTATCACCAATCACTACCCCTAAACTCCACTCTTAGTGGGGAGGTAGAATGGTATTGTCCAGATAAATTTTTTGAAAAAAGGAATTTTCTTTCCTTATAAAGGGAAGGAAGGCAGCTACTTTCTTTTCTTTCTAGAAAGGGTCTCCTTGAAAATCTAATGAGCCCTTTGTTCTAACCTTTTGGAATGTAAATGGATCTCTTCAGGGACTGGATAAGTCCAGTCACCTGGTTCTTTGTTATGTCTCTAGACTGAAGCTCTAAAGACCCTTGAACTGTAAACACTTCTGGTGTCAACCTTACAGCCTATCTCTTTATATAACCCTTTTCTCTGGAGGAGATATGAGAAATTTTTTTGTTTTTCTTTTTGCTTAGCTGTAAATTGCATGAAATTTCATCCTGACATATATGCATGCTCTCTGTTGGGCTTACTCAGTAAGAAATCAGTTTTCTTTCTTTCCGTATTAAAGTGAAGACCTGTCTCTTTGTTGGTAGGACTTTTACTTCCTCAAGAATAGTGTATTGGTGCAGTCTCTTTGGAAGCTGATTGACATTATTTACTGAAGTGAAAAATATACGTTCTATTCCCACCACTAGGACTTTATCCCACAGATACACTTGCATACCTGCCCAACGGGCAAAACTTCTTGAGAGAAATATGTGTTCTTCACTAGGCACAAATGAAATATGAAGTACAATAAAATACTATGTGACTCTTCAAAAGAATGGGATGGACTTCCATGTATTGGCATGGAAGGATCCTCAAGATAAACTGTCAAGTCAATAAAGCAAGATGCAAATTTGTGAGTTTACTATAATGACGTGTGTACTATATATTTGTAGATGCATCGATTTTTTCTTTAAAAGACATTTTTTAAAGGACATCTGTTAATGGTCATCATCTCAGGGAAGAGGGATTAGTAGGTGGTGAGTATGAGAGATTTCTACTTTTTCTTTTCCCTTGTTTACTGTTTGCTTTTCTTAAACCATGTAAATACAAAATTTTAAATAAATATTATATTATAAATAAATATAATCTAAATAAAATACAGACACCATAGATACTTAAGACATCAGTAGGCAATAAGTTCCCATGAGAGTGGGGATTTTGTTGGCTTTGATCAAGGCTCTATATACCCACTGTTTAGAACAATGTCCTGCACACAATAGATCCTAAAAAATTATTTGTAATTGAAACGTAAGTTCCTTCTTTGTCTCTCCCAAGGAATTTGAGTTTGGGGTTATTTGGTCTTCAGGCCAAATCTCAAGGCAAACTTTGTTGATTTTCCTACAGGTCCTATACTTCTCTTTTCCATCACTTTGCTCACACCATGCCATTGGCCAGGAATGCTTTCTCCTCTGATTTCCCTTCACCTGTTTGAAACTGTACACATTTCTCGAGCCAAACTGAAATTACAATCTCCAGTGAAGCTTTTCTTAGTTTTTCTTAGCCCTGTGTGCCTACCTTCTATCACTTGTTATATGTTATTACTTAATCTTGTTTTTGAATTTTGTCTGTACACGTGCCTTTAGAACTGAGACTTCTTAAGCCAATAGAACCCTTCTCATGGTTCTCACCCCTGCCCCCATCCACCCTCACAAATAGAGTGCTATGTGGCCATCACTGTATTCCATTTTTAATTATTAGGATGTGAGTTGAAGTTCCTTGGGGATCTCACATTGATTTCTTTACCAGAAGTCCTATTAGAGTTTCTTCATTTGTCCAAGTTTTACCTGTCCCAAAGCCAGCCTGCAGTCCCTCTTCCTACAGGAAGCCTTTCCTGATAACTCAGCTTCAAAGGGATAACTCTTTTTAGCTCTTAAAACAGTTAATAGCTGAACAAATGATTGGAAATGATATGTGTAAAATGCTTAAATTTTAATATCGCAATGCCTTTAAGCAAGTAACTGATATTTCACAGTACACCCAACCCTGCAATCAGATTGTGAAGTGAATCTTTTCATATCCCACCATGAGTCTAATAAGTCTAGGAAATGGATGCCAAGAAGATAAAGCTCCCAAGAGAAGAGCAGGAAAAAAGTTTCTTAGGGCTTTTGTGGCTGTCTGTATTGTCAAAGGGAACAGTGTCCTCATTTAAGAGTCAGGAAGTCTTGATTCTACCACTTTCTCTGGACAATTTAGGTCAAGCATTGTCCCCTTTCTGTTCCTCATTTCCCACATTTACAAAAATGAGGCAGAAAGATCCACTCCAGTTTCTTCATGGAAAGAACCAATTTAACCAAAAGTGGGATTTGAATAAGGTCCATTCTGGAGCTCTCTAGCTTTGTATATCACTGCCACACCCTATACCCCCATCATCCGTCTCTCTCCACTTTTCCTCCTCCTTTCTTCCCTCTCTCCCTCTCTCTCTCTCTCTCTCTTTCTTTCTTTCTTTCTTTTCTCTCATAGCAGTTCTAGCTGCAACCTTTAACAAAAGAACTTTTCAAAGGTCACTTTAATTTCTTTGCTGTTGCTATAAAATGATACACCTCTGGTTTACTTCAGATTAGAATTACACAAATTATAGAACCTCTACAAAAAAAAAACGGCCCTCAAGAGTATTATTTGAAGTAAACATAGATAATCTCATTAAATGATGAGTTTCATAAATTCTCCAATCTAAATTAAATGCTGGCAATTCTGTTTTCTTTCAGTTTTATGGAGATACGAGCCTGAAAGTTTCATTTAAATTTCAGAGCTTGATGACACCTGAGAAACAGATACCAAAACCCTTTAAAGCCTGGTTCTTTTCATTAATCAATGAATTCAGGAGCATTCAACCTAAAACAACTGAAAGAAACCAGAACAAGTTGTACAGGATTGTAATACCAAGAAAAATGGGATCTTTGAAGGAATAAATAGAAATGTACTTACTTTCGCAGGTAGGGGGTAAAGTTCTTAAACTATAAAAATTAATTCATTAAAAAAATTCATGAGCAATATATATTTTCAGTACAGTATTTTATATAAAATATATATTGGTGGATTCTCTGTAAACACCAATTTCCTAAAATAAGAGGAAGCTCCCTCCTTCATGTCTTCTGTTTTCACAACAAATCTTGCCATTTACTTCAAAAAAACATAAATTTCCTAAGACAGTTTGACTTTACAGTATGTACCCATAATTGCTTGTAGTTTTAGAATTCTTAGCAGACTCAGAGAGAACAGGTGTGAAAAACATTTCTATGTTCTGCCTCTGTGCTCTTATGTTTTTGTGACACCTTAAGCTCTTCAAAGCAGGGACTTGGGAGGAAGCTTTCAGTTTGTCTTGTGAGCTTTAACACTGAAATGCCCAAGCTCTAAGGAGCCTGGTCTTCTCTCCTTCCCTTACAGAGTTTGGCCTCTGAACCTTAACTCCTGGTTAAAAAAGCTCTTAGCATTGGATGAGGCCTCCGAAATCTTAGAAACATTTGGGCTGAAAATATAGACCCCGGGAATCTGGTCTGAAGGCATTGAAGACGTGATACCAACTTGTGCAGGTGTGTCATCAAGTTTCCTTATTGCTTTGTTCCTTAATACAGGTCTCTGGCTCAGCAACATTTAAATCTTAATTTCTCAACGCTAATAGCTCCTCTCCCTTCTTTTGGCCCATATGAGTCTGGAAGGTTTGGAGATGATGGCTCAACAAATTTTTCTTTCAAAAAGCCGAATTATTTGCGAGGGTTAAGTTCCCATTTCTTTGCTCCCTTTCTGTACCTGGTATATGTCCATTTTTAGCATATTCCCAGGTCTCTCTTGAGAAAGCGGAATATAAATCAGAAAGGAAAGGCGAGGAAGAGAAGTCCACTTACCGTCTTCTGAACTACCAGCACCATAATGGTTGCCACAGCGAAGACGAGACACAGAGCCAGCAAGGCTGTGGTGAAATAGAAATAACCACGGCCAGTGCTTCCCAAGTGGTTGGTGACCGAGCCAGCCGGCACGTGCATGGCTGCGCCTTGAGAAGGGGCCAGCGGGTTGAGTGCTTGCTGCAGCCCTGGGTCCATTTATATAGTCTTCCCTGCATCACACCTTATCTCTCTTCATCTGATTCGGTTCTGGGCCCATCTCTGTTCCAAGAAGGATTCTCCCCTGAATCCTGGATCATGTGACTTGGAAAAAAACCTTCACCGGCTGCCTCACGAAGAAACTCTTCTCTGGGGGCGTGAGGCGAAAGGCGGCAGCAAGGGTGGGGGAGAGGCTCATTTTTCATCGCCAGGGATTAATTTGAGTGAAGAGAAACTGTAGCTACAGAGAAGGTGGCTGATGTCAGAGGGCGAGTAGGAAAATGACGGTTTCCCTACTCTGGTGTGTGTGTGTGTGTCTGTCTGTGTGTGTGTGTGTGTGTGTGTGTGTGTGCGCGCGCACACACAGAGTGACTTCTCTTTCGGTCAGACTTAGCCACAAAATGCCTTCCTGCTTGAGAAGCTGAACATTCTCTTAAGTGAGGCCTGTGGCTCAGAAATCCTCACCTGAAAATATCTCTTTGCTGGGTCTCGGGGGGACTGGATTCCTTGAACTATGTTAGAATCACTCGAAAGGGTTGATAGTATTGGCTCCTGCTGAGAACTGGAAATGCTACCAGATATCTGGGAAGGAAGGACCCACAAATGTGGAGTTTTATCCAGAGGGGGACAAGCTCATGGCAGTATGAAATTTGGGGACAGGTTCAAAGATACTGTGTGAGAGCAGGAATCTGGAAACACTGATACTTTGAACAAAAATTCCTGCAGAATGTATTGGGACCTGTTAAATTTGCAGATAAACTTGTGTCTGCCATAAAACTCAGAAAAAGGGGAAGGAATTGGCAGTGAGGGTGGGGGTAGGGAAGTGGTATGGTACAGAATGTGGGGGGGTGTTCTGTGTGGTGTGTGCATGTGCTGCCTGTGGGTGGTGGGTGTGTGGAATGCCTTCACCATGCTTGGTGCATGTTGTGTGTGTGTGTGTGTGTGTGCGCGACTACTATAGTTGAACCTCTCCTATCTCAGGCACAGTGCTAGGACATGTATACAATGCCTCACTTCACCCTCACCTTTGCCCTCTGAGGCAGGTAATATTTATTTTTTTTAGATAGGAAAATTGAGGGTCAGAGAGGATGAAAACTGTCACAATCAAAGTCACAAATTTGATCAATGAGATAACTTGGGTGCATAGCTGTACCTGGCTGGACCCCAAGCCCACACTAACTCATTCAACTGTCATTGCACTTGATGGCTGAAAACCTGAGTTCCTGTCTCAGCCCTACTCCTACTGGTCTTATATTCTTGTATAAATCCTTATGCTGCCCCTCTCTTAGGTCCTTGTACAAATCCTTGTGCCCCTCTCTTTTCCCCATTGGCACTGACAGCTACTGTGAAGATCAAATGAGATAGTGATGTGAGAGTACTTCATGAATGGGAGTAGACTTGGCAGGTGGTGTTAGACCATTCTAGTCAAACATTCCAAATAGTCTGGAATTTAGGTAGAATATATGAATTCTCTATGGGGCAGAGCTGGTCACATCTATGGTTGTTAATGATATTCACTTCAAAATACCATTTAAAAAGTGTGTCACTGCATAACCAGTGCCTCCAGATGTAGCTCTTTGAAAACTTTACTTGGTAGTACCCAATTCTTTGTAGCACCCCTCCCCTTTCTGCTCACTTTTTGGCTGCCATATATCTCTGAGAGCCAGCAGAAATCCCAGATCCTCCCAGGGAAGTGTCCTGTGTCCAAAACCAAGCTTGGATAATTACCACTGCCACCCTTGCAGAGCTCCCAAGCTGCTGAGCATCACCTGAGTTGGGTCACTCTAGGAATTGGTCTGGATATTCCTTTCCAGTGAATCTGTAAAATCATAGATTTCTGGAGATCAAAGAGGTAAGTTGTTTTCTTGGGCTAAATAGAGTGGTATGAAGTGTACCCATTTTATAGTCAAGGAAGCTGAAGCCCCCTCAATCCCAAGTTGGGCTCAGTTGTAGAAGAAGTGGATGCACACATTTATTTGATCTGTTACTGAGGTGGGAATTAAGCAAGCTGGCATTTTGGGGGGTGTGCACCTGGCTGATCTGGGAAGAAGACTGTGTCCTGTGATGGGCATGGGCAGTGAGTGGGTAGCAGGGGGCTCTATAATCTGCCCAGAGCTGCTGAGAACAAGCTGTTTCCTTGGCCTCTCTTTGCAGTCTCTTTGATGAAAGTGGAAAACTTCTGATTGTTGAATGGAAGCTGTGGGTGTTGAAAAATAAAAAGGCTTTGCTTGAAGTGCAAGTCTTCCTGAAGGCCCATGGGGCTCAGAAGGGCAGCGGAAAAAAATGTTTGTCTTACAGTTACACGTTTTGCATAAAGTACAGTGTCCTAGGAGGGAAGGCTGACAAGGGGGAAAATCACCCTTTGTTTTTGCTCAGAACCTTCTGAGCAGTTGAGACTTTCAGATCAGTTTGCTTCCCTGGCTACTTGTGGGCCCAGTGTCACTCCTCTCCCTGTGGTACCCCTCCACTCATGAGCCATCAGTGTTCCCTAATTCTCACCCTCACTGATCTAAACTCCTCTGCTGTCAGCTGTGTCAGAAGCCAGCCCGGCCCACCTCGTGGTCCCATCCTTTGTGCTAACTGGCTTCTTTCTCCTCTCTATTCAGCTTTTACAGAGTTTCTTGTTGAGTGATTTTCAAATCCTTTCTGGAAGCAAAACTGTACAGTGAGTGTAAACGTGCAAGAAAGTGGAGCTCTTGGGCTGAAGCAGAGGCAGGATGAGTAGAAGGGCTGAGCCCAGATTGCTCATTTACCATTTAGTGCCCTGGGGTCTCTCCATGATGCAACAGAATTTGTGACTTAGCTCAAAACCCTCAATCCTCAAATTAGGAAACTGAGGCAAAGAAATGGAAATGACTTGAGGGAGTTTTAAGGGGGGAGGATAGAGACATGCTTTGAAGTCCCTGCGCTCATTCTCATCCCCTCTCTGCTAATATTCAAGGCACACTCAGGCTTCTTGCCATGTTCTCCTCACTCTTCCACTGCGTCAGGTCCTTTCTGTCCCTCAGGGCCCCTGCCAGCCTAGCTCAGTCCCCTAGGAAAGCCTGCCCAGACCTCTCAAGTCCACCAATATCCTCACTTCAGAGCCCTCTGTCTTCATGCCACCTAACACTGCATCTCATTATCTGCTTGTCTTGACGTCTGTCAAGTGTGTGAACACATGTGAATTTTGCCTTTCCCTTAAGACTTCCCTGAGGGCAGTCTGCACTTTTCCAGCCTTCTTCTGACTCCTTGCACCTCACCCTGCATTACTTGGCTCTAGGCCTATGTGTGTTCAAACTGTAGTCAATGATCATGTTGATTTTATGTTTATGGAAAGAGAAAGTTCTAGAAGTTTGGCTCATACAAAGGAATTGTGTGATAGCATATTTATCTCTCACTTCTCAGTGGTCCTCCCTTTCCCTGTCCTTCTCCAGATGGCTCATCCATTGGCTTTTCTGTTCCAGCATGGCTCCGTGAGAGTCACCACCAGCCTCCTTTCAGCCTGTAATTAGTTGCTGAAGTGTGGCTGCAGCACCTGAGATTCAGTGGGCAAACAGAACCAATCTCTCATCCCTTTAAGAAGGAACCCCATTTTGAAAAAATGAAAAGGAACCAGCTGTAGGACACCGGTCCCCTGCCATTGCTTCCCCATATGTGGCACTATCATGTAGGCCCACTAATGGTTCCCAAAGTGTGGTCCTTGGACCAGCAGTAGCAGAACTTGTTGGCACTGCAAATTCTCCACCCAAGACCTACTGAATCAGAAACTCCTGCTGAGGTCTAGTAATCTGTGTTTTAACAAGCACCTTGGGGAATTCTGATTCCTGAAACCATTTGGAAATACTGATTTAGGGAAATAACCTGTCAGTAATTCCAGAAAGAACCTGTGAGGGATCATCTGGTCCAGACTCTGGCTTTGGGCAGGTGAAATCCTACCCCCATCGTGCAGATGAGAAAACTGAGGCTCATAAAGAGGGGAATGTTGGCATGAAGACTCCTTTTTCCTATCCCTTGATTGAGCCCTCTTTCTAACCTCAAATATGGGTATATAACCTCAAATATAGGCTGCAAAAATACTATTGCTTGTGTAGATGGAGATATAATTATTATATTTACCCAAAGTTCTTTTGTGATCAGTGTATGTGGTAGAAATAAATATTTAAAAACTATTGGTCTGTGTGAGAGGACCTACTCCCCAGGGTATTTTCAAGCAATAAAACATGCAGTGAAACTGCCTGCTGAGGAAGGAGGGTCCTGTCATGTTAACTGTAGAGGCCTCTGTTTTATTAAGGCGGACTAATGGGGATAGATTGGAGTTGGCCAGAGTGACACTTCCCTGAGAGGATCCAGTGATGACAGATATAGTGGGGAAAGATTTAGGGCTGGGTCAGCAAACTGTGGTCACCAGCAAAATCCAGCCCACCACCTGTTTTTATAAATACGGATTTATTGAAACATTTGTTTATGCACTGTCTGTGGCTGTGCTTGCATTGCAGTGGCAGAGTTAAGTAGCTTCAACAGAGACTTGGCCCATAAAGTCTAAAATATTACTATCTAATCCTTTACTGGATAAGTTTGTTGATCCCTAGTTTAGTGTATTAAAATAAACTCAAGGCAGAATAACCAAAGACTGGATCTGGAGAAAAGAACAGAAATGTGTTTCGTAAGACTCTTCTATAAAAATCTTCACTGTGTTTACATTACTAAGTCATGCTTTCATGGGAACTGAGAGCGAGGTGTGTCAGAAGACACCTGGGAAATAAATAGATAGATATACCTTCAATATTGGATATGTGTGTGTTTATAAATAATATGCAATATACATATATGTATATATATGATTACACACATATTATTCCTGCCTACTTTAAAAAGGTTTTGAGTATGGAGATTCTTCAAAAAACTAAAAACAGACTTACCATATGATCCAGCAATCCCACTTCTGGGTATATATCTGGAAGGAAGTCTAATGCGAAAGGATACGTGCACTGCAATGTTCATAGCAGCACTGTTTACAGTAGGCAAGACATGGAAGTAACCTAAATGTCCATCGGCAGATGACTGGCTAAAGAAGTTGTGGTATATTTATACAATGGAATACTACTCTGCCATAAAAAGAATAAAATAATGCCATTTGCAGCAACATGGATGGACCTAGAGATCGTCATTCTAAGTGAAGTAAGCCAAAAAGAGAAAGAAAAATACCATATGATATCACTCATCTGTAGAATCTGAAAAAAAAAGGACACTGTGAAGTCATTTACAAAACAGAAACACACTTTCAGACTTAGTAAACAATCTTATGGTTACTGGGGAAAGGGGGTGGGAAGGGATAAATTTGGGAGTTTGATATTTACAAATGTTAAAAATAGATTTTAAAAAAGTTTCTTTGTATAGTATAGGGAACTATGCTCAATATCTTGTAATAACCTTTAATGGAAAAAATATGAGAACTAATATATGTGTGTATATTGCAAGAGTGGGACATTGTGC